GGTAGCGGAAGTGGCACGGGAGAGCGGTCCTGCCGCCGTCGATAGCGTGGAGAGTCGCGGTGACTCACCGGACAAGCGGGATCGATGAGACTCGACGGCTTGAGAACGGGTAGCTGCTTATAGAAGTGACGAGTGCAAATGCGACATATAAAGGTGAAGGGTTCCGCTACTAGTGGAGATTGGAGGAGTGCTTTCTGTGATTTCCTGCTCCAGGAAATCTCGAAGGCGGCGAAGTGCTTGGAGCAACAGTCCCCCTCACAGTAAGTGCCCACCGCGGTTAAACCTGGCTGATAAACGCGGCGATTTTCTCGCTGTGAGTCGCTCCCTCGTTCGCTCTTGTTCTACTGCGAAGGAGGAGATGATTGGAGGTGTGGGGCAGGGCAACTGGTGGGGGTGGAGCAGCGGGAGGAAAACGAGGAGAGAAATGATGATGGCTTCCTGCCTGATTTTCTCGTGCTTGCTTGCGCTACTTGGTTGCTGGTTGCTCCTCCACCCCCATCACAGCCCAACCAAAAAGCCCTTCATCTCGCCTCGTCTCCCATAAGTTTCCGCGATTGTCTGACCAGGCGTGCTAGCTGTGGGGCAAGGCCAAATTTTCTTCCCCGCCCTCCAGTTCGCCCTCGCCGCACCGCCTTTTGCGCCACACGCGGGTTCTGGGGTCCACGAGAGGAGGTTGTTTGCTTTGCATGTGAGCTATGCGGACGTGGCACCGTTTGGGACGAGCTGTGCTGGAATGCGCAGATAGGCAGGGAGGTAGGAGAGGAATGTTAGCTCAGATCGGACGGTTGAGATGCTGGAAAAAACAACCTCTCAAGAAGATATTTCCGATTTGCAAAAAGTACATGCCACGTGGCGGTGCAAAGTCCAAGGCGGGTGCAGCATAGCGTTAAGCAAAAGCAGGAGTTTTTATGTAGAGTACGAGAGGGCAGATAACGGTCAGATGGCGGATTGGTCGTCCTTTTACACTTGGTTGAATGTCACAACCAAGTGAATGAAAATGACCGAGAGGTGCATGTGTTGACCCTTCTGCATGTAGTGTACAGTTATCAGCAATTCTGTTTCAGGCATGCTGCTACACTGTAGCAAAACTGAAGAAAAACAATTCACAGTAGCACCAAGTGTGCAAAGTTGGAATGGCGTGGCAGGCGTGCATCTTGGGGGACTTTAGGAAAGTCGATCGACGTGGCCCATCAACAGCATCTCAGCATACCCTTTTCCTTTATGGCGGAAGCGACGCGATCGAAATCTTGCACTTTATCCAACGACGACACCAAAAAGCGCGCTCCAGAGTGAGTGAGCTGGAATTTCCGATGGTGGAGGTGCTTCGTCACTTCCGAAATCAAACCCTCACCGCACCTGGCCATGACTTGCGGGCACGAGTTTCGCATAGGGCGCCTCGTCCATGCTTTTGATATTTTCCAAATCCCCTGGAAACTATCTTAAAGGCATGATATTTCTCCCTGGGCAGCTCCGTCGTGCTTCCCATTCAGGCAGACCATTGGTTCTAGAAACATATAGAAAGTTTCAAACGTGCGACCGGTGAAGTGTGACAAATGTTATGATGACAACTATGATTTCTCGGCACTGTTCATTGTCAGTGGAATTATGGCTCCTCGTTCGTTCAGATTGAAGTGTCGGTAGGGCTGTGGACCAAAAATTAAATGTTTCCATGATGTTCTTCTAAATACTGTACACCCTCTTTCGCGATACACTGTCATTGGCTATACTGGTTGATCGGATGTACACACATCAATGCGTCCAGGATGGTCCCAGAACGTACCGTAAAGTGCCACCTATAGGACCCGCCGGTAAGAGGGTCCCCGGGACTCTTGAAGGAGTAGGGGGACTCTTATTGCGGCAGGTTTTGTGAGGACCCCCTTTTGTCGCTAATCATCATAAGACCCCCCCTTTTCCATATATTGTAAATGTAATTGTAATTGTGAGTCATCTTTTATTGGCAAAAAATCGAATTCTGACAGGCATTTTGTGTCAGACTCGAATTCTGACACTTTGTTTGTGTCAGACTCGAATTCTGACACAGATTTGACGCGCCGCTCGCGCGAAATCTGCGCACGAAGGCTGTTTTTCGTTATTAATATAAGACCCCCCCCCCCCCCCCCCCCCCCCCCCCCCCCCCCCCCCCCCCCCCGCCCCCAAATTAGGCCGTACACCCTAAAAAACAGAATGATAGCTGATAAATTAGTGTACCCCGGGTCTTAAAGATTTGCAACCGCCATAATGTCCACCATAGCATTTTTTTTAGCATTTGTAGAGAGTCCCCCGGGTCCTATAGGTGGCACTTTACGGTACCATATAAGCACTTTTGCCGCACTCAGCCGTACGAAAAAACAAGGTTTCTTTTGACAACCGTTGTGTACCGTTCACCGGGAGAGCATTTGCCAGCCAGTTACCTAGGAGTCCGAATGTAAGCACCAGCCCGCGGTTCAAAGGCAACAGTACGCACTGTAGCCAGTGCATCCCATTGCCAGTGTGGCGCAAAAGAGGTGTATATATGATAGAAACTGGGCACTGTTTCAGTTCAGTTCAGATCTGTATCCAGAATTCCAGTTGTGAACTAGTGCCATTCAGCCTACCCTTTAGATGCGGTGACCAAGCTTCTACAATAGAAAATAATATCACGCTAGCAAGCATACCCATATAACCACATGCCGGATCCATCAATATCGCTCAAAACAAACAAGCAACGAACATCTGTCTTCAACAAGCTCAAGCTCAATCCTCCCCGCTCGCCTCCCCCGCTCCATCCATGACCCTGCAGTTCATCTGTGCCTGCAGCAGTGAGCGGTGCAGGAGGCTCTCAGCATCACGGACCGCCTGCAGCAGGGGGGTGCCAGATGGACACGTGGACGCACCGTGCACCGCCACGTGTCCCACTCGAAACCGCTTGCCCTTGTCCTCCAACCACACGTCAGCATCCCAGTCCTCCTCCGCTCCATGCCATCCCTCCTCCTTGGCCTGCAGTCAGAGAGAGTGAGAATCAGAAATAGGAGAGTGAGAAAGGGGGGTTGTGGTTGTGGGGAGGTGGGGGTGCGGGTGACGTCAAAATAACATCCGTGGCATCTATTTTTTTAGAGTGCCATGCTTTCCTAGTATTACCGGTGCCTACAATGAACACGCAGCAGCTTGTACCCGCATAAAAGCATTGACAACATGCTACTCACACATTTGGCCTCACCCACGGTGTCATTTGGTTCATCCCCCCCCAGAGAGTATTAGCTTCCCAACGGCAAAAAGGCACACACATTCTGTTGCCAAATCAGCCTCATTTGCTCGCTTAACCGAATACGCCACTCCAACTACGCCGCTACTCCTCCCGGCTCACCTGCAACCCAAGAAGAATCTCCGCCACTCGGGCAGCCCGCGCAACGTTTCGGCCCGCCCCGCTGCCCATGGCGGTGGCAGCACCGACGGCATTGGCGAGAGCCAGTGTGGTGGAGGGCCCTTCATCGCTCAGCAGACCCATGGCCACCGCTGCTGCAAAGCTGTCCCCACACCCCACTGTGTCCGCTACATCCACCTGCAGGAGCGGGCAACGATGGGAGTGCCGCAGCACAGCATATAAGGACAAGTGGGTTGGTGCGTGCTTGCACGTGGTTTGAGGTGCTGCTGCTGCAAAGCTGTCCCCACACCCCACTGCGTCCGCTACATCCACCTGCAAGAGCGGGCGGCAGGAGTCACAACAGCACGGCATATCGCAAGGGAACGCGTGAGTTTGCATGTGAAACCGTTTGTCAAAAAAGTGAGAGCGAGGGGGGTGGGATGAGAGGTACGGCAGAGACTTGGGAGGGCTGGTTGAGTGGGGTGAATAGTGCATGAAAGACAAAAGAGGTTCTTCTTGAGCATGGAAGGTGGAGGTTTGCCACTGGATACAACTGTTACAATTCTGAGGCGCCTCAAAAGTCTAGTTTTGTTTTGAGGCGCCTCAAAACTAGAAGGTGGAGGTTTGCCACAGGATACAACTGTTACAATTCCACGAGCAGCAGAGGATAGACGAGCAGAGAGGACAGGCGAGGAGAGGAGGAACCAGGAACACACGACAGCACGCAGCAATAGCCTGTGTTGTGGTGGCGTTACCTTGAAGCCAGGGAGGCTGAACACGCCTTGTGCTGCAGTGGCCAGCACACATCCGTTTGGCCCCTTTTTCACCGCAACCCACTGCGGCCGCTCCTCCTCTTCCCACTGCTGCTCTTCCCGCAGTCGCTGTTGCTGCTGCCGCCGCTGCTGCTGCTGCTGCTGCTGTTGCTGGTGCGTCCATGTCAGGCCGTCCACTCCACCTCCCGCCTCTCTCTCCTCTGCGCCTGCACTGAGCCCAGAGCCCCCAGCGGCAGTGCTGCTGGCAGCAGCAGCAGCCCTGGCCCTGGCCTTGAGCTCTAGCAGCTGTTCGGCTGATGCGTTGGGGTCCTGCTGCTGGGTCACTACCTCCGCCTGACCCGCGCCCGTGGGCGATGGGAGATGGAATGGAAAAGGGGGGGGGGGAATGGAAGGATGGAAAGGTTGGGTTGGGTTGGAAGGGGGAGAAAGGAATGGGGGTTCCATTCAGAGTGAACGAAAGAGATTGAAGTGAAACAAGAGATTGAGAGAGAAAACCGCAGGATGGCAGAAAAATAACAGTAAAGATGTGCAGACTGAATTTTCAAATGGAGCACTCAGGCCTGGGATACAGCAGACCAACCCACAATTACAGAGAGGAAAAAGAGGCAGTACCAGTTACCGTTACAGTTTCAGTCACAATCACAGTAACACCATGCACACCTCTTCAGATGTGAGCAGAAGAACGTCGCAGTTCAGTAGCAGCCAATCAAAAACCTCCTTTGACTGCCCCGCTGATCGGAAGAGCGTGCCAGTGCGAGGGCCCGGGTCGAAAAAGACAAGCACGCCCGCCTGTTGCGCGTACTGGGCGGCAGACTGGATGGCGGAGGGTGGGAACTCGTCAAAGGCGAAGCCGTTTATGAAGAGAGCGCGGGAGCGGGCGATGAGGTGCGCAAACGCAGGAGGGATGGTCTGCACTCGACTGAAGGCTGGGTTCTTGTTGAAATCAAAGCGGCTGCAGAGATGGACAGGTATACAGGGAGGTAATGGCACGGGATGGGGATGGGGATGGGAACGGGAATAAGGAGGTGGGATGGGATGGGGATGGGAATGGGAAGGGGGGTGGGGATAAAGATGAGGATGAGGATGATAATTGGGATGGGACGGGGATAGGGATGGATGGGGATGGGGATGGGATGGGGGCGAGGACCGGGAGGAAGGGTAGACGACAGGGACCGCTGCAAACAATTAGGGAGAGGGAAAACGCGGAAATATGGCATAATGGCTGCTTTCACTGCTTCTTGAGTAATTGACTGGCCCATGGGCGCATGTTGCTGTCGTTTGAACTTAAGAACGGTTGACGTGGGAGAGAGGAAGGGAGGGAGGAGGTGAAGGAGAGGAGAAGGGGGGGAAGGTGAGGAGGGAAAATAGGGGCTGAATAACATGAGGGAACACAGCACTAAGCATATGAGTATCACCTGGCGAAGGCATGGCGGCCATTCTTATCCAAAAACACCCAGCACGCCAGAGTTTCCCCGTCATACCGCCCCTCACTCCTCTCGACCACATCTCCTTCCCCCTCCCCTTCCCCCTCGCGCTCCCCCTCCGCGCCCTCCCACGGCCCGTCCCCCAGCGGCCCGTCCACGTGGTCCGCGAGGGGCAGCAGCGCGACGCGCTCGTCCGCCATGACGCGCGCGAGGAACGCGCCGAACGCGTCGCCCGCCACGTGGCCGAACGCCGTGCAGCGCAGCCCCAGGCGCGCCGCTGCTATGCCGAAGTTGAGATTGCCGCCCGCCTCCCAGCACGACTGCGCGCGCGCGGAATGCAGGCAAGAGAAGGAGGGGAGGGGAGGGGTCAGGGGAGGGGGGATGGGTGTGAATGTGTCAGTGGAAGGGGGAAGGTAGCAGGTGACAGGTGGCAGGTAGCAGGTGGCAGTAGAGCTCGCAGCCCTTGGCATCATGCGACCCTAACGCACGTCGACACAGCACACAACTGCAAGGCACCTGCAAGTCACCAACTCACCGCAACAATTCCCCCGGTTCACACTATTCCGCGCCAAATCACTCCCACTCCCGCGCAATCACCCCCTCGTCACCCTCCCCTCCCCCCTTCCCTCTCCCTCTTCTCTCCCCCCCACCCCCCCCTTCCCCCCCACTCCTCCCCACAGACTGTGGATTTGTATCACTTTCAGGGCCAACTTACCTCATCAGGCGGGTTCGCTTTGACTCGTTGCAGGAATTCCCACTTCCCGCGCCGATCGGAGGGCGGTAATTGGTCCACAGCTACAAGCACATCCACGCACAGGTTACCTAGGGTTACCACATCCACCAATTTCGTCTCCCCTTCCTGCACCCTCGCTCCTCCCGCCTCCCTGACTGTTTCTTCTTCGCCCTCCCTCGTCCGCAAGAGGGTTTGGACATTCTTTCCTTCGTCTGCTCCCTGCTCGTTATCCTGAAGCTCCCGTGCCGCTGCTTCTCGAACCGCCGCCACGCCTGCCGTGGGTTTCGCGCGCTGCGTACTAGGATCAATAGCGTTGGTTTTAGCGTCCCTAGCTTTGGCCTCATCTAAAGTAAGAACGTTGCTGCTGGTCGACGCTTGGCCAATGACGTCATCTCTTTGGACGGCTGGATGGCCGTCCCGGTGACGGATTCCGTTCGGCGAGGCAGCTCCGCCGGCGGGGTTCCCGAAACGGAAAAGCAATGCAGAGCAGGAAACGTGACGAGAGGTTACTGCACGAGCGGCGCGCAGGCGGCGTCTCTGTTGTGTGCACGCATTGCCCTGACGAGCGGCGAGAGGTGGAAGGCGGCAAACTGGTGCAATGGATATCGACATAATGTCTCAATTCAAGCGGGAAACCGCAATGCTTTTTTCGTCGACTAAAAGAAACGACTCAAGCGCGGGACTGCGGCGGAGAGCAGACGAAGCGCAAGAAGTGACCGAGAGGAAAACTCGCTAACAGTCAAAATGAAGAAGCGTATGACGACATCTCATACATTCGTCTAATTTTTTCGTAGAATACAGAACCACGCGTCGCGTCGCAGACAAACATGCTCTGACTGATCGGGAATCGGGATGCGACTGCCGCTCTCGCTCAAAGAGGGAGCAACGAAAGGAAATAATGCAAGGGCCGCTTCGTGCTGTCATACGGTACCGAGGCGTGCAACCCCGAGGAAAATGGGGTCGTTCGGAAGAGAGGGAGTGTGAAGGGGAGGGAGAGGGAGGTGGTGGGGAGAGGGGTGTTGAGCAGGGAGGGGGAGTGGGGTAGTACTGGGCAGATGGAAGGACAATTGCCGGAGGAGGAAGCTGACTGTGTGCTGCCTTGCCGAACCTCCGCCGGTCGAAAGTGGTTTTAGCTGGTTTGATTGGGCCTCTGTTTCCTCCTCCCGTCACCACCTGCCACGAGCTCCTTCGAGAACATTTGGAACAGAACAATTCTGCCCGACCACAACGGCATGCCGTCAAGTTCTTTCGCGTCAAGTTCACCGATAGGCGGCAATCCACTGCCGTGTAGACTCCATCCCAACTACGCGTCCATCAGAAATAGGTACGATACAATTTTTTCCATAACGTATTTCTACCATGGCGTCCTGGCTTCCTACTACATGCACCTGTCTACCATGCACGACCAGCAAAGGCAGAAAAGGGTGCCCGCAGTTGTGAGTAGTGCAGCACTCAAAACATCAAAGAATGAATTAGCCTACACAATCCACCTGTTGCGCTTATCCATTTTCACCTTTCCTCCCGCACCTCCATGATCGCCTCCTGTGCACTACAGCTTGGATGATGTAGCCATGGGAACCACCATGTCCTTCTTGGCAACTTCCAAATACAATGCGTCAATCTCCTTCTCAAAATAGGCCTTTGCTTGGGGCCTCTTGACCTGTAAAACAAAATGAAAGCAAAGCGAAGCAGAACAACACAAGCATCACATCAACAAACCAACGCTACTGAATCCCAACTCCCATTCAACAAGCATCACTTCAGAAAACGGACTGCACAGAAACAAACATTCAGCACAGACCGATGACACAAATGCGCATCATTCCTGCCTGTCCGTACCTTGAATGTGGGCGTGAGCAGTCCATTTTCCAATGTGAACGGCTCCGCAACAAGGTGCACCGCTTTCACAAACTCAAACCCACGCAGCTGCAAGCACGCAAAGGCAACAACAGCACCACATCCACACACACAGGGAAACAAGAGCATGCAAATCATCATCACAAGCATCTATTCCAACGCAGCCGCCAATGCAGCAATGATTTGTGCTGGAGTGAACAAGGCGCCATACCTTGGCCTCCTGACCCACTCGGTCCATGTCTGCAAGTACTGCCGCCCGCGTTACAGGGTCCTGGCACAGGCGCGGCACATCCTCTGCATACTGTTGGGCAGCAACAGCACAAAGGGAAAGAGCAGTGCAGGGAAGGATCGGGAACAGGTCCTCTGCAAACGAACCCTGTGATGATTGAGGTGAGAAAGGTGAGATAAGGCGGAGGTGGGGTTGGTGAAAAAGAGGAACAACAGGACACAGGCGCATGGTTGGAGGTGGGTGAGTGGGAGAAAACGGCTCACGGGAATGCCTCTGCTCTTGGCCCACGCTGTGATGCCATCAGGATCCACCACCACTATGGCCACCAGATTGGCGTTCAGGCTGTCACCTGTGACATTGAGAGCAAAGAACAGCACAGCGGAGCACACACACAGGAAACGCACAGCCACACACAACCAGACACAGAACAAGTGTCAGGAGAGACGAAGGGGACAGACTGACGAGAAAGGGAGAAAAGAAGTGCCGAGAGCGGCAACCCACCATAGACAAAGCACTGCTGAATGAGCGGGCTGCGCAGGTATGTGTTCTCAATCTTTTCAGGTGCCACGTACTCGCCCTGCGATAGCTTGAAAATATTCTTCTTCCTGCACAAGCGGCCCCACAACACACACATCGTGCCGCACCTCATCTGAGCCACACACAACTCACCAAGCTCACATGAATCATGCACGAATAGCATCCGATAATCAGCAGGAAAAAGAGCAAGCCAACAACTGCTGAAACCAATAGCTTCAAAGGAGGTGCCGCATGAAACGAGGCGAGGGCACCTGTCAATGATCTTGAGGCGCCCCATGGGAAGCCATGTGCCGATGTCCCCTGTGTGCAGCCACCCATCCTCGTCTATCAACTCCTCCCTGTGGCATACGGAGGGCAGGCAAGCAGCAGACCATCACGCACACCGAACGTATCAGCCACAAGCAGGTTTCTTGCTGCGACGCAAAGCTTCAAGATGTGATAAACTGGCCGGAAGGATGGAAAGATGGAAAGGAACCTTCTATTGGTTGCCCGAGTCCAGAAAGCGCAAGCAGAACAAAGGCGAAGGGGGCGGGGGGGGGGGGGGGAGGGGAAGTGAGAAATGTGGTTGGAATGCTATTCATACGTCTGCTTGGGATCCTTGTAGTAGCCCTTGATGATCACGGGTCCCCGCACACAAATCTCTCCTCGCGGGTATGGCCGGTCCGATGACAAATAGTCCATTTCAGGCACGTCCACTAGCTTCACCTCTGGTAAAGACATGCACACGCACACGCACACAAACAACGCAGCAAGAAAAAATGGATTGGGCATAGCATAACAGAGATGCAAGGACGCAGGACTGGGGAGGGGGAAGCGTGCAGGGGTGGCAAAGAAAGGGTGTTGGTCGTATGGGAGGTTTTGGATGTGAGTCAACACACCACATGCAGGGTTGGGCGAGCCCACATGGCCTGACGTGGTATCATCTTCGTCCACCAGTGATATTGTGCATGTTGTCTCCGTCATGCCGTACCCCTCACACACACGCGCTCCAAAGCAGCTGCACACGGAAAGGATGAAAAACAAGGTGAGAGGGAAAGGGTTGTGAATCAATGCTAGGAAAGAGGGCAAGGGCAGCGGGGGCTGCATGATGCAGCTCATGTCAAAACAAGCACCGTAGCTTGCAGAGGGTGTTCAGCCATGTGTACATAAGGCCCTGCACGAACCGTGAAACATGCACGTATACACGCTGGCTGGCTGGCTTACATGCGCAGGAAGTCAAGAACTTCCGGGGAGATGGGGGAAGCGCCTGTGATCATGAGGCGCACTCGCCCGCCCAACCGCGCCTTCACCTTGTTGAACACTAGCCTGTCCCACACCGCTGACGGCACCTTCCCTGCCATACATGCCCCACCATGCCATGCCATGCCATGCCATGCCATGCCCCACACACATACACCATGTATAAGTCGAAAACAGTTGCACAAGCAGTGCACGTACGGTCGCACGTCGCTTCAAGGGGGATCAATCTTCCACGACAAATGAACAGCCAACAGCCCAACAGCCCCCAGAGCGGAGGACAAGGCACGGCACCTTTCTCGAGCGCGCTCTTCTTGGCGCTGTAGGCGATGTTGAAGAGGTACTCGCGGATGCCTCCCGAGGAGCGCACAGTGGCCAGGATGCGGTCGTAGATGCGGTTGTACAGGCGCGGCACACTCGCAAACACCGTCGGCCGCAGCACCTCCAGGTCATCCATCAGCTTCAGCACGTCCTGCTCGTTTCCCAAGGGGAAAAGGGGTATGGATGGGGCGGGGTGTGAGAGGTGCTGTTGTTGAGCAGCTGAGGCAGGAGACCAGGATGCATTTGAGTGATGAGAGGAATATGGAAAGATACGGACTGGGGTGGAGAAAGACTGTACTGCAGTGCAAACAAGAGGGGGAGTGACGAGGCGAGTGAGTGAGTGGGTGAATGAGTGAGTGTGCAGTACAACCCGTACCCCTTGGTAGAAGCCAATGGCAGCGCCGCAGTGAATGAGCGACTGCATGTTCATGCGCTCATAGATGTGTGCTAAAGGCAGGTATGAGAGGTATCTGTGTGAGAGAGGGGAAGTGACAGGGAGGAGGGAATGTAGGCCAACGAGAGGAGACGGGTGTGTTGCGAAGGAAAAGGAAGAGGAAAGAATTGCAGAGATGCTCATTGCTTATGCCAATGCTTGTGCATTGCTCATTTAGAAGAAGTTACAGTGTTGGTGTTTAGACGCATATAATTCACACCAAACAGGTCCTGACCATCATACAATGGCCATGAGTAAATAAACCAGGCCACGGAAGAACAGCGATCTTCCCAGACCGAAAATGAGCGACTGTTCCTCCAAAGTGCTTTAGACCGTGGGAGCAAAGCCATACAGGAAACTCGAGATGCACAAGATGGACTTGCGAGCAGGGGAAACCAGAAACGAGGATTAAAGTTCGCAATTTATGCACATACACGTCACCAGGGAAGAGCGTGGCATTGAAAAGTGTGCCTGCAGCACTCGCCACCATTGCTCCTTGCGTTAGCATGGCTCCCTGCCACCACCCATCAGACCCCCAGTGCACATACAACAGCAACGTGCCAACGTTAGAATGCTATCACAAAAGCAAGCAGCCCCATGAAGTTGAAGGAAATAACAGATCTCTTACCTTGGGCACGCCTGTGGTGCCGCTGGTGTAACAAATGCTGCACGTCTCGTCAGGGGAGAGAGGGGCGAAGGGAGGTGGGCTGATGCGGCCCTGCAGGTACGGGATGGGCGGGTGGGAAAAAAGGAACTACAGTGATCAATCAGCCCACTCG